ATATACTTGGACTTTCAAAACTGATTTACAAATACTAATAAACTAATTAAATAACGTGTAGATAATCAATATGTTAAAACCATCATGAAATTTTTAAAGTTTAACAATAACTATACTGATTACTTTGTGTTTAACTGAATTTTTTACCTAAAGATAACAGATTGAAATATAATTTGAAGTGGATGTCCTATGTAAGGATTTAAAATATTGTTTTTTTGTGGAACATAGGTAAGCATAGAAAAATTAGGTGATATGTAGTAGAGTTTAATAGTCAGGCCAATTGTATTATATGAAGAGATATTGTTTGTCAGCATCACACCCATCTGTCTTCACTTCCTACCCCACAGGGTAGATGTGAATGTTCACTTCAAGTTAGAGAGTCAAATTGAGTAATGCGAGGTTTATATTTTGTTTATTGCAGTTAAATTTGTCAGAGATGGAAAATACAGGTGGAATGGAAAATGAACTTCAATAGCATGTGAAGGTAAAATTATTTTTCTGCTACAGAAATTATTAATGTAAATTGATTCATATCGGTATGGTTTAGTGAAAAGCTGTTTTTTTTTTTACTTTGCTGCCATTATTTATAACATCCCCAGACATGCTTACCGTCCCTTTTATAGCATATTTGTTCTGCTAAATTACACAAAAGAATGTTTCTTGTTTTGGCATTCATTTTCAGCAAAGCTTCTTCGCTAAATCAACGAATATATAGTTTTCAATGAAATAAGTGTGAGGAATATCAATATAACTTTATTAACATTTCAAATATGTTACACACATGCTCATTTCTGAGGTTTATAATGCAAAGATTTTTCCATTTTATTTTAATTATTTATTTTCAATAAAATTCAAGGGTTTGGTTTGGTTACACATGATAAACTTCAAGTCTATGTCTTCCCTGGGTCAAACTTGCTCTGAAAGTATCCTGACACTACCGGTCCAACTATATGCCAATTGGAAAGTTGATGTTATTTATGCAATACTTTCACAATAAATCACAGTGTATATCATAGAAAGGCACCAGAACTCCTATTTATTTTATTTTAGAAAACCTGGTTTTCTTATGCATCTTGTTATTAATTTATCCTTTAATGATTCCCTCCCCACCTTATATATCACCAGGACATCATGAAGCTGAGATCTGCTATGGAGGTGAAGCTGACTTACACAAGCACTATACCAACTGTAAGAAGAATCCAGGTCATGTCAACTTTATACCTGTTAATGATTTTAAATTGGATCATCTCCCCTCACGTTACCATGACGTCATCATGTTGGAGCTAATCAAAGCTTTGTCTACCCTAACGGTCCTGATAAAGGTCCAGTACATCTGTCTAGAGAGACCAAAGTCTGCTGCATGCTTCAGTGGTCAGTATGCATTTTATAACACCAGAGGAAGTGACGTGTTGAGGACAGGGACGGGGACGGTATGTGAGGTGGTCAAGTACACAGAGAGTGACAACAAGGGCACTTGTAAATGAGGCAGGTGTCAACACTCGGACACACCCAGCAAAGTGTGGGGGGAGGTTGGTGTGGTGACAGCCACACACGTGGTGTTTGATGACAATGAGGTGAGACAGACCAGGTGTGTTGTAGGTTTTGATGACAATCAAAGTCCTGGGGTCAGTCTTGATGGCTGGAGGGTGGAGAGAGCAAACATTGAAGGAGACAGGTGTTTATTTACATGTGTGTCAGGTGACTTAGAGTTGGTTGATAAACTGGAGAAGATGCGTGAACACTTAGTGAAACTATGTGTTAAAGACATTGAAAGAGATGGGTGTTGGTTTAAATGTGTGTCATGTGACTTAGAGTTGGTTGATAAACTGGGCAAGTTGTGTCAGCACTTTGATGATCTATTGGTGAAAGTAATTGAAAAATATTGGAGATTTGTTGAAGAGGACAATTTGACCATTATAGTGTCACATCCTCATGGCTGTCCTAAACAAGTCTCTGTAGGAGAATGGACACACCAATATGTGAGGGAAGGCTGTTTGTACAAGTACACGTATACAACATGTACATGTCCAGGCTCTAGTGGAGCAGATGTCTACTTGCCGGGATATGTCAGGTCGTCACGTCTCCACAGTGGATCAAACTCTGAAGGAAATTATAGTGGGGAACGTATGTTGATGCGTTGATCCATCTGTAACTGTTAGTTTTTTTCTCCCCTTGTTTAATGTAAACAAAGAAAATGGTGGATCTGTTCATTAAATTTGTATGTGTCAAGATTCAAATGTCTTTATCAGCAAGTTTGTATTCTGGTGAAGACAATAAATAAATAAATTTTTAGTTTTGTTTCACAAAGTACTGGTACTGAGGTCGTGTATTTTGTACTGTGTCATTTTCTTTAGAATTCTAGATTTATCGTTCGTGTGTCTTTAATTAAGTCAATAAAGGTTTAGAAGAATCCAAAGTTATCTTCCATTCATTATGTTATTGTTGATAAACTTACTATTTTTTGTTAATGTTAAACAAGACATGATGGTAGTGAGGAGAAATGCCGACAGTCAAGTTTGTAGCTAAGACTTAATGTCGGCAGTCAATTTTGTAGCTGAGACTTAATGTAGGCTGTCAAGTTTGTAGCTGAGACTTAATATCGGCAGTCAAGTTTGTAGCTGAGACTTAATGTTGCAGTCCTAAAAGCCTTGAAATTAGAACATTAAGCTATGTGAGTCTGTCTTGATAAAAATGAAATTTGTTCGGTTAGGTTAGGTTTGCCACTCGTCCCTCCAGGGACATAGGCCGCTGACAACAGCTTTTCAGGCGTCTTTGTCCTGGGCTAGTCTCTCACTGTCCCCAGGTATATCCAATGTTCTTACATATTATGGGCTTTCACCAACAGACTTCATAAATTCTCCTTATTATGGCCCTACAAGTCCTAAAGTACATTTGAAGATGCGTGTCATTCTATATTAATTATGGTAAAAGTAACGTGAGTCAGTCTTGATAAATAGGTAATAACCCAACTTTTTTTTCATCACTACAGGTTCTGCGTGATCAAAATTAGTACCGGTCCCTCTAAGTTGTTATTGTTTGTTGTTTATAGTCCGTTTTCAATCTCAAAATTATAGCATGGACAGTGTTTTTGATGGTGGATTTGTTGTCTTGGCCTAATATTTCGTCCAATTGTCATGCGATAATACCAACTATTTATTAAGATGCGAATTTTTCTCCTTGCCCTGCTGTTCAAAGCACACGACTTAATTCGGGTTGTCACGAATATAAACACACCACACCACGTGATCAACATGTGTTTTTACTTTCTTTAAGAAGCGGTCTATTACCAGTCCCCACTACCCTCCCCTCTAGCCTTACTGCAGGGAGATAAGCCATGAATGATTTGTTGACAAAATTCACCTGGCCAGATAAACAGTGCCAGAGCTGGAATAATGGCCTGGCCAGGTTGGCAAGTTTTCACACAGCGGTACAAAGTCCAGCATGATAATAATAGATGAGAAATTTATTCAGTTGCTAGCCTGCTTATAGATAGAAAAAGAAATCGTTGAGGTTTATTCAAATTTGATACTAAAGTGATACTGTATGTGTGGGAGATGTTTTGTTGATGTTACTGGCGTGGTTATTAAAGACGTTAGGATTAAAGTGATGGGCCTATACAATATAAAATTATTAGTTTGATAACTTGTATCCTATATGATTGTCCAGATTTATCAAGACTGAATCCACCAGCCATGTTGAGTTGCCAGTTAGTACTACCCAGATCTACTATGGACAAACCTGTTTCGACTCTAAGATGGCCAGATTTTTCTGGTCCAACTTTTGAGAATTTTTTTTGTTGTATATTTGTTGAGTGTGTGTAATAAGTTTTTGTTTTGTTTTAAAGGGCTGAATATATTTGTCCTGATTCTGTTTTCAGTGCCAACGTATTGGATTGGATTGCTAATCTTCCACATTCCTGTTGGTCCCACAAGATTGCTGACGTTCACATAAATAAGTAAATTAATATGATAATTTTCACTTAGCTATATATAGAATAATTTTCTTCAAGTCTATAGTGATGTTAACACAGGCCTGAAATAATGAGCTTTGTAGGCTACAGCTGTTGAAAAACTAGATTTGTAATCTAAATATAAACACAGTTTAACTTTTTTTTAAACAAAGTTTATGAAAATTGACATATAGCTTTTTTAAACAGTTTATGAAAATTGACATATAGATCTAGCTTATTAAAAGTAATTAAAAATTGCGCACCAATTTGAAATAGTCAAAAGAGTTGCTCAGAAATTCCGATCTTTTTTTTGTGTGTAAAGTCTGTAGAGAAACACACGGCCTACTAGTGCTGGATTAGCTGATGTGGTAAAGTTTGTGTTGTATTTGTTTGTGTTCTTTAAGGCTCGTTTATAGGTGTAGTTTTTGTTTAAGTTTAACAGGTATATGAAGATTATGAAATTATTTTAAACACTAAGAAATGTGTTTTCATAAATAAACGTGTATGAGATGTTTACAGTGTAGGCATTGTCTCAGCTGACTGAGGGGTGCCAGATAATTATTGTTGACATGGCTAAACGTGTTTTGGTTTGTCTCGTCTTCTAGGTGGCCTTACACTAAAGGAAATTATTTAAGTTAAAGCCGAAGAAATAGAATTACGATATTTTAAAAACTTATTTTAGAAAATTCGACAATGCTGGAGGATTTCTTTCCTATTGCTAAATTTTAACGCTATGATCGAGTAGTAAATATTTCATGCACGACTGTTCAAATTGTTTTATAAGTTCTGCTTAAATAAAATTGTATTAAAGGTTCATTTGAGGAGGCCCTAATTATCTTTCATGTATACACTTAAAATGAAGCACCTCTTTCTTTTTATGATCGTTACTAAAAGCAGTTTAAAAAGTTGCTTTGTCCTTATATTTTAAAGATTGTATCAAAACATTTACGTACATATTAAATCTGTGCTAAATTAATTATTAAAGCTTTGATAGCAATTATCAATCTAACCACGTGACATATATGAACCAACCAATTAACAGATTCCTCTCACCTCCACCAGAACAATGGCATTCCCCCACCTCCTCTGGTATTGTTACCTGCTGGGTTTACTAAACACCGCGACATCAGCCGAGAGAAAAAACACCAGAACAGCCTTGCTAATCATCGACGTCCAGGATTGTTTTGTGGAGGGTGGGAGTCTGGCTGTGTCTAATGGCAGCCAGGTTATACACGTCATTAACAGGTGAGGGGGGGGCTGTGTCTAATGGCAGCCAGATTATACACGTCATTAACAGGTGAGGGGGGGGCTGTGTCTAATGGCAGCCAGATTATACCCGTCATTAACAGGTGAAAGGGGGGGGGGCTGTGTCTAATGGCAGCCAGATTATACCCGTCATTAACAGGTGAGGGGGGGAGGGGCTAGTAATCTGTATCAAACGAAATCTACAAATAATATTTAAAAGCTGCCATGTGTTTCCATCAACCAATGGAATATGTTTCCACCATGTCCTACCATATCCTAACTTATCCTACCTTATCCTAACTTATCCTTCTATCCTAGAGTAAGAAAAGAGTTTGGTGACGAGTTTGACGTCGTCGTCATGTCTAAAGACTGGCACTGTCCTGATCACGTGTCCTTCGCTGCTTCTCATCCTGGCAAGAACGTTGGTGACGTCATCAACCTCACCTACACGTTGGACGGTAACCCTAGCAACGGCTGCTATCAAATGTTTATCTGTTGGCCCACCATTTGGTAGATAGGGAACGTTTCTGTTGTACCCATGTGACTTTGTTGTACCCAGGTTTACTTGTGTTTTGTTGTACCCAGGTCACCTGTTGTACCAAGGTCACCTGTGTTTTGTTGTACACGGGTCACCTGTCGTACCCAGGTCACCTGTGTTTTGTTGTACCCAGGTCACCTGTTGTACCCGGATCACCTGTTGTACCCGGGTCATCAGTGTTTTGTTGTACCTAGGTCACCTGTGTTTTGTTGTATTCAGGTCACCTGTTGTACCCAGGTCACCTGTTGTACCGAGGTCACCTGTTGTACACAGGTCACCTGTTGTACCAAGGTCACCTGTGTTTTGTTGTACACGGGTCACCTGTTGTACCCAGGTCACCTGTGTTTTGTTGTACCCAGGTCACCTGTTGTACCCAGGTCACCTGTTGTACCGAGGTCACCTGTTGTACACAGGTCACCTGTTGTACCCAGGTCACCTATCTGTTGTACCCAGGTCACCTGTTGTACCCAGGTCACTTGTTGTACCCATGTCACCTGTTGTACCCAGGTCACCTGTTGTACACAGGCTAACCTGTTGTACCCATGTCACCTGTTGTACCGAGGTCACCTGTTGTACACAGGTCACCTGTTGTACCCATGTCACCTGTTGTACCCAGGTCACCTATCTGTTGTACCCATGTCACCTGTTGTACCCAGGTCACCTGTTGTACACAGGTCACCTGTTGTACCCATGTCACCTGTTGTACCCAGGTCACCTATCTGTTGTACACAGGTCACCTGTTGTACTCAGGTCACCTGTTGTACCCATGTCACCTGTTGTACCCAGGTCACCTGTGTTTTGTTGTACCCAGGTCACCTGTTGTACCCATGTCACCTGTTGTACCCGGATCACCTGTTGTACCCGGGTCATCAGTGTTTTGTTGTACCTAGGTCACCTGTGTTTTGTTGTATTCAGGTCACCTGTTGTACCCAGGTCACCTGTTGTACCGAGGTCACCTGTTGTACACAGGTCACCTGTTGTACCCAGGTCACCTATCTGTTGTTCACAGGTCACCTGTTGTACCCAGGTCACCTGTTGTACCGAGGTCACCAGTTGTACCCAGGTCACCTGTTGTACCCAGGTCACCTATCTGTTGTACACAGGTCACCTGTTGTACCCAGGTCACCAGTTGTACCCAGGTCACCTATCTGTTGTACCCAGGTCACCTGTTGTACCCATGTCACCTGTTGTACCCAGGTCACCTGTTGTACCCAGGTCACCTGTTGTACCCAGGTCACCTGTGTTTTGTTGTACACAGGTCACCTGTATTTTGTTGTACCCAGGTCACCTGTGTTCTGACCAAGACTACCCCACCACTGTACCAGACCTTGTCAAGTGTCCACCAACTGGAACAAACAAAAAAATACAACAAATGGTTTGGCCCGTACACTGTGTGCAGAACGTCACATCCGGTCCTACGTCATCGAATATTGCTGAATCGTTGTTCACAACTGCTAATGACGTCATCATATATAAGGGAAACCACTGTCAGGTTTGTAATTTCAAAACACGTATTTTAAAATAAAAACCCTTTATATCTACATTCGGTAGACACCATTGTGCTGTAAACAATGTTGTAAAAAAATCTTTCACGTCATTCATAGGTTGATTCTTATTCGGCCTTCTACGACAATGGACGTTTTGGCGAAACCAAACTTAAAAATGAGTTGACAAGCCGTGGTATCGATACCGTGTATATTGTTGGGCTCGCACTCGACTACTGCGTGTATTACACGGCTAAAGACGCCATTGAGCTAGGTACTTTTTTTTAAGTTTGATAAAAATAGTTGGAAAATCTTAGGCATTCAGTTTACACTCTTTTCAGGAATGCCCCTATCTCTTTACTTTATAATTTTTTTTTTAAATGGCCTGTTTGTTTATAACAAAAGCACTTAGTTTCTTATCAAATTCCGAAAACCTCCACTTTCAAGTGGATTTAGAATCTAGAGTCTATACGATGACTTGTTATAGAGTCGGTCACAAATTTTAGCTGGGTAAAAAATACGTAGCCGCGTAGGCAATTTTTTTATTGTTTGATTAATTTAGTCACTGCTGTAGACATTCTATTTCTCCCTAGTAGATTAAGATCAACTCAGACTATACAAGCCATCTTTGACAAGGTTCATAGACTGACATACACTTTCTGTGACAGGGTTCATAGACTGGCATACACTATCTGTCACAGGGTTCATAGACTGGCATACATCATCTGTGACAGGGTTCATAGACTGACACACAATCTGTGACAGGGTTCATAGACTGACATACACTGTCAAAGGGTACATATGCTGACATACACTATCTTTGACAGGGTTTATAGACTGACATACACCATCTGTGACAGGTTTCATAGACTGACATACACTATATGTCACAGGGTTCATAGACTGAAATACACTGTCGCAGGGTTCATAGACTAACATACACCATCTATCACAGGGTTCAGAGACTAGCATACATTTTCTGTGACAGGGTTCATAGATTGACATACACTATCTGTCACAGGGTTCATAGACTGACATACACCATCTGTGACAGGGTTTATTGACTGACATACACTATCTGTAACAGGGTTCATAGACTGGCATACATAATATGTGACAGGGTTCATAGACTGACACACACAATCTGTGACAGGGTTCATTGACTGACATACACCATCTATCACAGGGGTCACAGACTGATATAAAATATATGTGACAGGGTTCATAGATTGACATACACTATCTGTGACAGGGTTCAAGACATTCGTGGTGAAAGACGCTTGTAGAGGTGTGGCTGCTACAACATCAGCTCAGGCTCTGGAGGATATTGTAGCTAAAGGTGAGACAGTAGCTAAGGTGAGACATTAGCTAAAGGTGAGACAGTAGCTAAAGGTGAGACATTAGCTAAAGGTGAGACATTAGCTAAAGGTGAGATAGTAGCTAAAGGTGAGACATTAGCTAAAGGTGAGACATGGTAACTAAAGGTGAGACATGGTAGCTAAAGGTGAGACATTAGCTAAAGGTAAGACACGGTAGCTAAAGGTGAGACAGTAGCTAAAGGTGAGACAGTAGCTAAAAGTGAGACATTAGCTAAGGTGAGACAGTAGCTAAAGGTGAGACAGTAGCTAAAAGTGAGACATGAGCTAAGGTGAGACATAGTAGCTAATGGGGAGACATTAGCTAAAGGTGAGACATTAGCTAAAGGTGAGACAGTAGCTAAAGGTGAGACAGTAGCTAAAGGTGAGATATTAGCTAAGGTGAGACATAGTAGCTAATGGCGAGATAGAAGCTAAAGGTGAGACATTAGCTAAAGGTGAGACATGGTAGCTAAAGGTGAGACAGTAGCTAAAGGTAAGACATAGTAGCTAAAGGTGAGACAGTAGCTAAAGGTGAGACATTAGCTAAAGGTGAGACAGTAGCTAAAGGTAAGACATAGTAGCTAAAGGTGAGACAGTAGCTAAAGGTGAGACATTAGCTAAAGGTGAGACATTAGCTAAAGGTGAGACAGTAGCTAAAGGTGAGACAGTAGCTAAAGGTGAGACATTAGCTAAGGTGAGACATAGTAGCTAATGGCGAGATAGAAGCTAAAGGTGAGACAGTAGCTAAAGGTGAGACATGGTAGCTAAAGGTAAGACCTTGACATAAACTTACTCAGTCATGCAAACACAATTTAAACATTTTAGTCGACATATTTTTATTTAACATCAAGCCATCATTTAGTCGACATATTTGTATTTAACATTCAGCCGTCTATCATTTAGTCGACATATTTGTATTTAACATCAAGCCGTCTTCATTTAGTCGACATATTTGTATTTAACATAAAGCCGTCTTCATTTAGTCCCGGGTAATCCAAACTACGGCCCGCGAGGTCATTTCATCCGGCCCTTGACGATTTTTTCGTCCACTGAATAAATGTTCTTAGAAGTGACTGAGGAACTTTGCACAGAAAATTCAAAACAATTTGAAAAATGTAGCTTTGGGTGCAAATACAATTTCCCGCCGTGTTGCAGACATTGGTGAAAACATCGTGACTCAAATAGCGAAATATGCAAGCAAGCTTCGCCATTATTCAATTGCAAAGGTTGAGTCGCTGGACAGTTGTTCCGCCTCTCAACTGTTTGTGTACATTAGAGGTGTGGATGAAGACATGAGCATAACACAAGCGCTGGCTTCCCTACATAGAATGTATGCCACTGTTACCGAAGAGGATATCTAACCATGGATAGTTCAGAGTTTAGTTCGCAAGATTTACCATATTTCAGTATCAGAAAGATGGCTAATTTTGCGAGAAAGCTCTAAGCTGAACTTTTAAGTTAAGAAGAAATAGGTGACTTCCTTAAAAGTACAGGATCATCAAAGACCTCCAGCAGTTTCAGTAGGTTCTCTGACTTGGATTTAAAGGCTGAAAAAGTGAGACTGTTTCAAAGCCCATTTGAAGCAAATGTGGCAAATTGCAAAGATAAACTGCAGCTGGAGGTCACTGAATTGCAAGAAAATGACTTCCTTAGAGACACGTTCAAAGAAGGGCGGGTGGGTTTTTATAAGTTTTTGCACAAAGATGACTTTCCTAATATTAAAAGTTTGCATCAAAGTACCTTTCCTAAAATTAAAACTTCTGCATCAAAGTACCTTTCCTAATATTAAAACTTCTGCATCAAAGTACCTTTCCTAATATTAAAACTTCTGCATCAAAGTACCTTTCCTAATATTAAAACTTCTGCATCAAAGTACTTTTCCTAATATTAAAACTTCTGCATCAAAGTACCTTTCAAATTTTGAAACAACATACCCGTGAGAACAAACTTTTTCAATTTGAGAGCAAACTTCGACCTCGAGTGTGTTGTCGACCCCCGAAAGTGTTTCTTCCAGACTTTTTCTCCGTGGGGGGGGGGGGGGGGGTGGGGTGGACACTTGAAATTTGTAAATATTTCTATATGAATTATTATTATATATTATATTTCGTTGGGGAGGGAGGGCGGGCGGTAGACCTTCCTCGGGGGGGAAGGTCTACCTTAAGAGATGCCTTAAAGAAACTCTGGAAACCGAACTGATATTTCATAGTTAATGCGGCCCTCGGGCTGAAAAGTTTGGAGACCCTTGATATATTTTTTATTTAACATCAAGCAGTCTTTCATTTAACCAAGAGCCGCATATGATTAAACTAATGACAATTTTGTCAACAGGTGGTCAGGTGGTCAGCTCCAACAACATCTTCACATCAGCAGCTCAGGTTTGATCATTGCTTTATATTTGTTGATAAGAGCTGGTTGTGATGTAGACATTGCATTGTATTAGTAGCTAGCGATCCCGTCCCGCGCGTTGCTGCAGGCTGATGCAATACTTTCAGAGGTTTACATCTATGCGTTACCAATTGTGTATTTTTGAGACGCGTGGTGTTCTTTTTTGAAAATTGAGTTTTAATGTAAACAAAACAGGCGCTTTATTTCTTGCATCATGCGAGCCCGGGGTGTTGCAAGTCACATACATGCCAGGGCACCGGCGGACACGCCTGGCAAGATTTATTCTATAAATATAGTAATCTATCGTATTCAAAGTGTTTCGCACCCTTTAAACGAACGTAGGCGCAACAGTGTTTACAGGGGAGCCCGAGGCGTCAATTTTCACCCTTCCAATTGCCAATAGTGCATTTTGAGACGTGTAGTGTTCAGCTGGCAGACGTGCCTGATTTAACACAGTGAAAGATGTTTGTGAACCATCGTATCCATAGTATATCACTCTTTAAAACGAACGTTGGCGTCAAATAGCTCATGTATATAAAAATAAATAAATAAATAAATAAATAAAGATATATATATATATATATATATATATATATATATATATATATATAGAGAGAGAGAGAGAGAGAGAGAGAGAGAGAGAGTCTATTCACTTAGACCTATATAATGCTAAAGATAAAATGCTGCCAATGATGTGTTGTGTTTATCCACAGCCCAACTGTGTATCTAGTGTCACATCTCATCAGCAACTTCTATTTATAGCCACAGTGTACATCATGGCTGTCTTCATCTAGTGAAGTCAACATCCAGTCCATGTTTTTGTCCTCATCATTTAGTAAAAACAATGGCCTAAAAATTGTAACTTTGTAGTCTCTAATGAATAAAATAAACTGTGCAACAAAATGTGTTTAGTGCTTATTAAATTCTTGTTCTCTTAATCAGTGTGGTAGTGTAGTGGTTTGCTCATCTGAAATATTGAATCTCTGACTATAGTCTCCAGGACACTGTTGACTGAATCCAACATGCTCAGATAAATACCTGACTCATTGAGGGAAAGGTAAAGGTGACTGACCACACTATAGGGGTGACTGATCACAGAACTGACCACACTATAGAGGTCACTGATCAGACTCATGATCACAGAACTGACCACACTATCACCGTGTATGTCAAGTTTGCCTTGCCTGAGTTACTTAACTTACTGTGCCTGCAGATGGTGATGAATGGAAAGTACACAAATATCTGCATGTAAAGCCAGTCATACAGGCATTAGTAGTATCAAATTTATCTTCCGTTAGATTTTCAGTTGTCTCTTTGGGTTGGAGTTAATGGAAACAACATGAAATAACATGAAATAACAACATGAAAAAAACTTTTCATCCAATATATGTAGCCCACCTATTGGAAACCAATTGATTTATCAAAATAATTTAATTATATCAAGCTATATTAGTTCCAAACATACAAACTTAGACAACTGTTATAAAAGCTGCACTACTCCACATAAACCCTCCCACTGTCACATAAAAACACTTGCACTATGTCCAGCATACACTTCCAACCATCACCCTCCATACCACTTTACTACTAATTAAAAAAATATAAATTGTAGTATAAATACTGTAGTATTTATCTGTTTTTTTTTTCAATTGATAGAATGTTGAAATAATAAGGAAATAATAATGAACATTTTAAAAATTCATAAACATATTAGATCTATAATAACATTATACCACACTCCACTATTTAAGCATGCAGGAAATTTTTTTGCGCGACAAGCATAAAACAAAGTTCTGTTCCAATCAATGAGTTTAGTGTGTTCCCATTTCAAGTAACTTAACTTCTTGGCTTGTTCGATGTTTTTTACCGCATATTCAGCATTTCTTCTAAATCGGAATATATACAATAATTGTAGAGCAAGGTATTTTTTGGTAATGGAAAGGCAACTTTTTATTGTCGATGCAAACAATGTACAACTGTAAGAGGTAGCTAACAAGAAGAGGGAAATAGTATGTATAGATCTATTGTATTGAGTAACTCGATTTTAGTGTTACCATTATGACTGTGTAGCAAAAAGATGTAATAAATAATATATAGATCTAGATTTATTTTTTTATGCAGCGCATATATGTATATATATATATATATATATATATATATATATATATATATATATATATATATATATATATATATATATATATATATATATATATATATACGTCTATATATATTATATACTATACAATATATATAGGCCCAGTGGCGTAGCCAGGATCGTCTAAAGGGGGGGGGGTTCCAATTTTTACCCGGGGACAAACAACTTTCGATTTGCACCCCCCCCCTCAAACTTTCATTTTGCACCCCCCCCCCCCTCAAACTTTCGATTTGCACCCCTCCCCCCTCAAACTTTCGATTTGCACCCCCCCCCCTCAAATTTTCGATTTACACCCCCCCTCATACTTTATATATCTATACCGAGGGGTCTATGGGGGGGGGGTTATGACCCCCCCTAACCCCCCCCTGCCTACGCCACTGTAAAGGCCTAATCATATCTATATATAAAGCAAAGTGGTCAAGTGCCCGATAGGGCACTTCCCGGCGCCGCAGACGCGTCAAATTTGGCACGATGGTGCCTTCGGGCGATAGAACACGAAGGCCGGTGACGGTTGGCCGAAAAGTCTACGGAGAGGGGGTCAAAACTGACCTCGACTGACCGGCGCCTAATATGGGCTATATTACGAAAAAAAAAATCCTCCGACGACCCCCCTTGAAATTTTGTGAGGTGGTAGGAGAACGCCTTGGGGTGTCACAAAAAACTCGCCATGTCCGGGAAAAATTGTGAAATGGGTCAAAACTGACCAGTCGTATTTCCATATAATAATCTTTGTATTTTATGGGAAAAACATAGGGTCATTTCAAAATGGATTTTAGGGCACTTACCCTCTTTACATCTGGCTAATGTTTGGCATGTTTATTGGTAAATGGCTTGGCCGTAGGGCAGACCTGTCAGTTTCACTCAAAGCCCTCGACGAGGGCTAAAAAGTGACCGCGAGTGAAATTCTCTTTATATGAGCTTTATTACGAAAAAAAATTTCCTCCGACGACCACCCTTGATATTTTGTGAGGTGGTAGGAGATCGCCTTGGGGTGTCACAAAAAACTCGGCTTATCTGGGAAAACTTCGTAAAGAGGTCAAAACTGACTAGTTGTATTTCCCTATATAATCTTTGTATTTTATAGGAAAAACAGAGGGTCATTTCAACGCAGGCTTTAGGGTACTTAAACTCAGTATATCTGGCTAATGCTTTGCATACTCTTAGGTAAATGGATGGACCTTTAGGGAAAACTGTCGGTTTCACTCAAAGCCATCGACGAGGGCTAAAAAGTGACCGCGAGTAAAATTCTCTTTATATGAGCTCTATTACGAAAAAAAAATTCCTCCGACGACCCCCCTTGATATTTTGTGAGGTGATAGGAGAACGCCTTGGGGTGTCACAAAAAAACTCGGCATATCTGGGAAAACTTCGTAAAGGGGTCAAAACTGACCAGCTGTATTTCCCTATATAATCTTTGTATTTTATGGCAAAAACAGAGGGTCATTTCAAAGCGGATTTTAGGGTACTTAAACTCAGTATATCTGGCTATTTTTTTGCATACTCTTAGGTAAATGGCTTGACCTTTAGGGAAAACTGTCGGTTTCACTCAAAGCCATCAACGAGGGCTAAAAAGTGACCGCGAGAGAAATTCTCTTTATATGAGCTCTATTACGAAAAAAATTTCCTCCGACGACCCCCCCCCCTTGAAATTTTGTGAGGTGGTAGAAGAAGGCCTTGGGGTGTCACAAAAAACTCGCCATGTCCTGGAAAAATCAGGAAATGGGTCAAAACTGACCAGTCGTATTTCGCTATATAATCTTTGTATTTTATGGCAAAAACAGGGAAATTTTAACACAATTTTTAGGTTACTTAACGTCTGTACATCATGCTAAGTTTTTGCATACACTACTATAGATGACTATGCCGTATGGAAAAACTGTTGGTCAGACTCAAACCCCTCGACGAGGGCTAAAAGTTGATCGTGAGTGAAATTCTCCTTATATGATATATATATATATATATATATATATATATATATATATATATATATATATATATATATATATATATATATATATAGACGAACGATCCCCTTAATATTATATGATGTCGTAGACCAACCCTGGAAGGTAACAAAAATAATTTATCCCGTCGGAAACAGCCAATATAGTCGTTAAATATGTTCGTATACCATAATTTCTTATATAAGCATATAACTTATGTGTACTGTTTGTAAAAAAAAAAGTAAACAAAGACTTACGTCATACGTTCAGTTTTCAAGGGAGGTAACGTTTGTAAAATTATTATTTTTCAAATAATTGTATACTATTTTAAACAGAAACAGAAAATGACGAAGTATAGCATTTGTTTTAGTACAAAATTAAGTTGTTAATTCAGTTACGTATCCTAATTAAATAAATAAATAAATTTCTAAAGGCAATGTAATATAAACTATGAGATATACTGTTCATGGAACCTGTGTAGTTCTAATTCCATTTTAGTTATACATTGCGTACTTTCCAATATTTCTCTGAGAACGGTATTTCAATGACAAACAAAAACATTTTTTTTTCTAAAGTTAGCATTACTGTTTAACTTAAAGCACTCCACACCCAATCCATCGCTAAATAATTAAGTATTCAAATCCTCAAATGTTATTTAAAAACCTAAGCGAAGCTAGGCAGTATGCCTAGTATATATATATATAATCATAGCGATCTGATTTCTCGGAACACTACGAATTTTTTTATGTTGTATTGGTATTTACACTGTTCATGTTGTTTTGCTAGTTATTTAAAAACGCAAACTGGAGACTTCTTTATATTTATTAATTAACAATGGATGATAAAAAACAATTTTCCTTCCTTTGGGAATTTCTAATAATATGCTTACATCTAAATCTAGCTCTAAATTAATTCGAAAAATAAAAGAGACTTTGTGGCTTAGGGGGCTGTAAATTTAGTTAGCTGAGTCAGTTTGTGTAGCGTAGAACACAGCACAACAATTGACAATGTCGAATACCAAAGTTTCTGTAGTTAAATCTGAAGTTGATGAAGCTTGTCTTGGTGAAGAACTGCAACAAAATGGAAAGGAAAAGTTACTTAAGTTAGTCATTGGCATTTCAAATTTGTTTGATTTATTATCATGATTAAATTATAGTAATATTAGGCCTATAGGGTAAAGGAGGGCGTTAAGAGCCACACTTTTTAGCACCTGTACATTTTTAAAGATTTCTACTAATCTAAGAATTTTTTAGTATTGAAAATATGGCAAAATTATTCTAACATATCTTACATAATATAAAAATAATAACAAAGTCTATTAAATATACTTTAAATGGGTTTAATTGAACATTTATTGTCATACCCCCAAAATCAGCATTTGGGGCGAAAGGAGCCGGGCAATGGGGCAATAAGTATTATCTCCTAGTTTAGACTAACTCCGCAATAAAAATAATTAATTTCTAACCCCAAAATAGTTAATGCTGTGTACACACACTTTAACTGATACTAGCTATCACTAGGCCCCAATGGGCCCAGTCTACAATTGATACAATCGCAGGTTTACATACTACATAGGGCCTACAGTCTAGTAGTTTACAGTAGGCACATTAGTATGCCTAGTGTGTAGCTAGTATACTAGTGTGTAGCTGTCCAGATTTAACATTCTTGTATGTAAAAAGGGGTGGTACTAACTAATCTGCCTTAATGCTTTCCCCTGATAAGCCATGTGTGCTATACATTACATAACATGACATGGAGGTGAGAAATGTTGAGGGGAGAGCAGTTGTACTGGTTTCCCCTTTGTTCTCCTTGCTGGACCCTGAGGGCCATAAATTACATAAGGAGATGCTATCTCTGGTTGGCTGAGATCTAAGAACTAAGTCCATGCTACCTACAAAGAGATAAGTTTTATGGTGGGTTAGATACAGGTGGGGGCTGGGTATCATGGGGGTGAGAAATTGTTAGGGGAGAGCAGTGGTATTGGTTTCCCCTTTTTTCTCCTTGCTGGACCCTGAGGGCCATAAATTACATAAGGAGATGCTATCTCTGATTGGCTGAGATCTAAGAACTTAGTCCATGTTACCTACAAAGAGATGAAGTTTTATGGTGGGTTAGATACAGATGGGGTCTGGCTATCATGGAGGTGAGAAATTGTGAGGGGAGAGCAGTGGTACTGATTCCTCTTTGGTCTCCACCCTGCTAGACTATGAAGGTCATATATTACATAACATGCCACCCCAGATTGTCTGAGATCTGTAACTGTAATCCATGTTACCTACAAAGAAATGAAGTTTTATGGTGGGCCAGAAACTGGTGGGGGCTGGGTATCATGGGGGTAAGAAATTGTACACGGGGGGGGGAAGCAGTGGTCTGTTTACTTCCCTGCTGGACCATGAGGGTCATAAATTACATAACATACCACCCCAGATTGGCTGAGACCTAAGAACATTTATTCCTGTTACCTACAAAGAGTTTAGAAGTTTTATGGTTGGTTAGAAACAGGTGGGGGCTGAGTCGGCTGTATTGCCCCTTAGGGGTAATAAGTATGTGTACCATTTAAAAAATTACCTGGCTAACATAAGATGGCTGAATTTTTACTTTTTATCAGGTTAGAATTGTATTTCTATCATTTAGACACAAGTCTGTTTAACAATTTATACATTTTGTGTTAACTATTCCTATACCAGTGTCATATTCAGTGGTCTAATAAATGAGAAACTTGCACATAGGGTTTCAAGAGCCACATAACAGTATCTGTTATAACTTTTCTGAACAGGCAAGCTAGTGGACAAAATTAATGTATTCATGTAGATTTAGTTTTTATCTAACAAATAAAACCATTATGGTAATGATCAGTCAAGTTTTACTCTGATAATGATAAAAACTTTATAGCATGGTAAAATGGGACAAATGTCGACCATTTTGTTTTGGCACCAATAATCACTGTGCAAAAAAAATTCACCAAAATAAAACTATTCTAGCCATAGCTATAAAAATAGTGTTAAAATGTACAACAACCAATGCTCTAATACAGGAACAAAGAATGGGCTTGAAAAACTCATTTGGTTTATTACAAAGTGAAGTTTCCCAAGTTATGTCTATTTGGAAAAAAAGTTCACAAAATGGTTTTATGGAGATGAGAAATTTTAGGGAAAGAGCAGTGGGATTAAATCCTGTCTCATCCTCTCCCTATTGGACCAAGTGGGTCATAAATTACATAAAATGAATCCTCTGCTTCTCTGTTATCAAAGAACAGCAGTTGTTGTTACCTCAGAAGAAGATTAGCAGTGTTATTGGGGGTTTTGTGGGGGTGGGGTGTTGATTGGGGCTTAATACCACACGGCTCTTAACGCCCTCCTTTACCCTACTACTAGTCATTACTAATACTATACTATACTAGGCATGCTGCCCAGCTTCGCTTAGGCTTTCGAAAACATTGAGAATTTGCATGCTTAATTAATTCGCCCGAGGGTCGGTCTACGACCTCAAGAGTTATGAAGAGGTTTAATCCGTGGACATTTTTTTTCGATTTATAGCTCATATAAGGTACCGGTCAGTCGAGGTCAGTTTTGACCCCCTCATCGTAGACTTTTCGGCCAACCGGCCCCCGTGTTCTGTCGCCCCAAGGCAAGATCCTGCCAAATTTGAAGCGCCTGCGGCGCCGGGAAGTGCCCTATCGGACACCCGACAATCTAGATCTAGATCTAGATTCCTAAAAGAATTTTTTTTTAAGTTTAGCCCGAGCATAATAAAAATAAATACATTAACCAAGTTGACTTGGTGTGTCTCGAACCCGCACCACCTGCGTGGTTTAATGTACACTAACATCTTCGCTATTTAGGCAGATGACGTCAATAGTTAATGTATAAGCAATAGTGACGTCACAGTTTTATGCGTTCTTTTTCACATATATTAATGCTTTTCCGGTTGCATAAATAATACTGTTTCTCTACATTCGAATACGCCTTAAATTTTTATTTTTCTTCTTTAAATAAAATTGTGGTTATACATTTAAAACATCTAACATATTATTTTCAACAAAAGTCCGTAAAAAATTCTCGATATATCGCTGCCGATTCTGACGTGATGTCCGGCGAAAATTTTTTGCGGACAGAGAAAGAGAGAGAGAGAGAGAGAGATGTGCGCACATTGGGCTTTTATAAATTAGGATAGTTAGTAGGGCCTATATAGCCATTGAATTTGTTCCTCCGAAAAATCAGCCCCCCCCCCCCCAAAAAAATATAATAATCACAATATTCACATAGATCTAGATTAGATCTAGAATCATAAGAATCTATGTGATCTCATGATAGAGTAGATGGATAATTAAATCATGACATTACGTCATTAAAGTCATTACAAAAAAAGACCCATTCCCTAACTAACTAAACTGACATTACACCTCGGCACTCCTTGCCTACAAAATAAAATTGCCCCCCATCATTTCTTAAAACTGAGCTCAGTCACTGTAGCGTACTTTGAGGTAGGTAACTATTTTAAAAATGCAAAATGACAGCGAAAAGCACTGATGGTATATTTTCTGAACTCCCCTCCCGCACACATCAGCCTAGACATGGTTTATAGACGACCTCCTACTCAAATTTTATGTTTAATCAATAGTTTGGATCACTAAAATCATTTTTAGAAGTAGATTTAACTACAGGTAAAAGATGGGTCATATGCTTTTTAGACTTTTCTCCTGCATTAAGTTAAAAAAAAAGTGTATACTGTTTTGTAGAAAGGATTTTATTTAACTGTAATAATAAAAGCATGGCTGCTCACAACTTGTCAACAAACTCTCTATGAAATATAATTTATATGAGTGCACAGGCTTTTATATTTAGTCACACTGGTATATAGCTTTAGTAAGGTTACACTACCCCAAATTAAATTGAAGGCTTTATTTTTAGTTGGTTTTTTTTTTTTTCATAATTTTTTTAAATGATTTGTAAATATATCAAAAGTAAAAATGTTTCCTTTATAAAAAAATGTGTGTGTGAATTATTTTTAAATTTTACTCAGCCGTTTTAAAAAAATATGTAGGTATATAACCTCTCCAACCATTAGAATTTACTTAAAGATATTAATTTAGAAAAACTCCAAATTTACAGAACTTTTATTGTAGTTGATAATAATACTCTTACTGCAAGCTTGTCAAGGATTAAAATATCATTTTTAGCCATTTTTCCTTTACCAATATCCACCACTACTAATCAATGGGTACCAAAATAATTAACTCTTAAAATTTAGATAAGGAATTTTCATAATATGAGAATATATAGCAAATCAAGAGCAACATTCGAGGTCCATAGTTTTAGTTCAGATTTAACTGATGGTTTTGTTGACCAGGAGCTTAATATATCATTCAGTCATTGTTTGGTTTTTGTGATGATTTCATCCTTCTAGAGAGAAACCAGTATCTGCCTGCTTATGGAGAGGTTATGTAGGTGACCTGACCCTCACGACCTTTGACCTTTTTACCCAAGTCAACATCACCGAGGTGGCCCTGGGCCAACAGCACAGCTTGTTTCTCTCACAGGACGGCCTGGTCTACGTCAACGGCCTCAATGACCAGGGCCAGCTGGGACTGGGGTCATGTGACACTCGGATTGTTGAGGAGCCAATCAGAGTTGAGGGATTGTCAGGTAAGAACATTGGCTACATCCAGCTAGTGCTACATGCTACATCCAGTTAGTGCTACATGCTACATCCAGCTAGTGCTACATGCTACATCCAGTTACTGCTACATGCTACATCCAGGTATTGGTGGACGGCATGGTTGGACAGAAGATCTTATGACTGCTAACCCAAAAGTCTTGAGTTTGGATCCCTAGGCTTGAGAGTGTAGGATGTCCCTCAGTACATGAAGACAGATGGGTACCTGACTTATGTTAGGGAAGTATGTGGCATGTTGCTGATCACACTATCCCTCATATACCGAGGTCTTCATCCCTTGGGCACAAACAGGAAATGTTGTGTGTTTTTTCAGAAAAGTTGGATTACTATGTTTAATTTTTATGATCTTTTTATTTCATAGGTAAAGATAAACTTCATGTATTAACATTTTTGAAAATCATATAACATCTTTTTTTAGTTCTTTAAATTATTAAAATGTTTTCATTTTTGTACTTAATTTACCTATCTTGTTTGACTAGACTAGAGTTTCTCTAGTTTACAAGTTTGAGCCTTCCATCTGCTCAGGTCCCGCAGTGAATATTGCCTGTGGCAAGCAGCACAGCGCTGTGGTGACGGAGGATGGCCAGGTGTTCTGCTGGGGGTCATCCAGAGATGGCCAGTGTGGGACAGGAAGTCTGGACATGGTACCCCTGCCCACCAGAGTGGGGGTGGAGGTCAACGAAGGCTTCTGTCAGCACGGTGTCCCCAAACCAGCGCTCAGTGTGTGTGTCAAGTCAGTGGCTTGTGGGGACACGCACACTTTGGCGCTGTCCACTGGTCAGTTCTTCTACACTTTGTCTTTGTTTATCTAGTCATTGTAAACTTGCTGTTAATTAGAATAATAATCTGAACTTGTCCCCACAATCTGAAGTTGTCCCCACAAGCTGAACTTGTCCCCACAATCTGAACTTGTCCCCACAATCTGAACATGTCCCCACAATCTGAACTTGTCCCCACAATCTGAACATGTCCCCACAATCTGAACATGTCCCCACAATCTGAACATGTCCCCACAATCTGAACATGTCCCCACAATCTGAACTTGTCCCCACAATCTGAACCTGTCCCCACACTCTGAACTTGTCCCCACAATCTGAACTTGTCCCCACAATCTGAACTTGTCCCCACAATCTGAACTTGTCCCCACAATCTGAACTTGTCCCCACACTCTGAACATGTCCCCACAATCTGAACATGTCCCCACAATCTGAACCTGTCCCCACACTCTGAACTTGTCCCCACAATCTGAACTTGTCCCCACAATCTGAACTTGTCCCCACAATCTGAACTTGTTCCCACAATCTTAACTTGTCCTCACAATTTGAACACTCTGAACATCTCAACATGTCCCCACAATCTGAACTTGTCCCCACACTCTGAACATGTCCCCACAATCTGAACTTGTCCCCACAATCTGAACTTGTCCCCACACTCTGAACATGTCCCCACAATCTGAACATGTCCCCACAATCTGAACCTGTCCCCACACTCTGAACTTGTCCCCACAATCTGAACTTGTCCCCACAATCTGAACTTGTCCCCACAATCTGAACTTGTCCCCACAATCTTAACTTGTCCTCACAATCTGAACTTGTCCCCACAATCTGAACTTGTCCCCACAATTTGAACTTGTCCCCACAATCTGCACTTGTCCCCCACAATTTGAACTTGTCCCCACAATCTGAACTTGTCCAGAACTGGTCCCCACAATCTGAACTTTTCCCCACAGATGGTGAGGTCTGGGCCTGGGGTGCGGGTGTCCAACTTGGCCTGGGGGAGCTCATGCATGCCCCCATCCCTCGCAGGCTGGACACGTTGACAGGCCAGTCTGTCATGGCCGTCTGCTGTGGCGCCAGACACAGCATGGCACTGGTCATCCGCGGGGAGAGAGCCTCGCCCAGGTCGTCACCGGTCAAGACGAGAGGACGGAGGGAGGCGAGGGAGGTGGAGGAGGACAAGCTGTACCCGTCACGCTGCAGTACGTGCCACAAGGAGATCTACACGTACACGGACACCAGCGACATGTGCATCATTGACACGCTGCATGATTGCAACTCTAGCGAGTGCGTCACCAGCATTGATTCCACCATCATAGAAGATGTCGCGTCATCCAGCTCGTCCAGCGAAGCCTTGAAGAAAGCTGGGTCACCCTCTCCAGATAGAGAGGACACAGTAGACCCAAAGTCAAGCAGTTCTGCTAGCAACCCATCTAAACCTACCAGCCCATCTAAACCTACCAGCCCATCTAAACCTACCAGCCCATCTAAACCTACCAGCCCATCTAAGCCTACCAGCCCATCTAAACCAGACAGTCTCCCATCTGATGAAAGCTGTGGCCTGGCCCATCAAACGGGACCCAAGGGACATAACACAGAGGGAGGTACACCAGATGAGCTAAAGCTAGTTCCTGAGCTGCAGGATGGTGTGCTAGAGGACCCTGGTCTACTGGAGTCAGCAGGCAATGACTCCGGTCTACTGGAGTCAGCAGACAATGACTCCGGTCTACTGGAGTCAGCAGGCAATGACTCCGGTCTACTGGAGTCAGCAGGAATAGACTCCAGCATTTTGGTTGTATCAGGTGAGAGTCCATTTGATGATGTGGTCAAGCCACCAGCTGACCTGAGCACAATACCTGAAGACTCACCTGGCCAACAGAGTGATGGGGGGTCAGAGGTCAAGGGTTCACCAGCTGACCTGGACACAATACCTGAAGACTCACCTGGCCAACAGAGTGATGGAGGGTCAGAGGTCAAAAGTCCACAGCTGCCAGAAGAGCAGGATGAAGTTGTCTGGAAGAGGCGGTCAGAGACTGAGGAAACTGATGAAGGTAGAATCCTCACACTCATTTCTTTTCTTTGGGTTCAATTATTTCTGTTAGATGTGAGCCTGATATTGTGGGATCACCACTACCCTAGAGAAATTTATTTTAGATTTAAAAAATTAAATTATTTAGTTAAAATAAGTTTTTTTTTCTATGTAACCAGTGAAAGTGTTGTAAAATGATTCTAAAATGCCTGTGATTTTTAGACCGATGCAATGTGCCAAAGGCAGGAGAAATAATTCATTTAATCAGACTGCTGGTGTAAACCCTGACATTTAGCCAGTCTGCTAGTGTAAACCCTGGCATTTAGCCAGTCTGCTAGTGTAAACCCTGGCATTTAGCCAGTCTGCTAGTGTAAACCCTGGCATTTAGCCAGTCTGCTAGTGTAAACCCTGGCATTTAGCCAGTAGGTTAGTGTAAACCCTGACATTTAGCCAGTCCACTGGTGTAAACCCTGACATTTAGCCAATCTGCTAGTGTAAACCCTGGCATTTAGCCAGTCTGCTAGTGTAAACCCTGGCATTTAGCCAGTAGGTTAGTGTAAACCCTGACATTTAGCCAGTCTGCTAGTGTAAACCCTGACATTTAGCCAGTCCACTGGTGTAAACCCTGACATTTAGCCAATCTGCTAGTGTAAACCCTGACATTTAGCCAGTCTGCTAGTGTAAACCCTGGCATTTAGCCAGTAGGTTAGTGTAAACCCTGACATTTAGCCAATCTGCTAGTGTAAACCCTGACATTTAGCCAGTCTGCCAGTGTAAACCCTGACATTTAGCCAGTCTGCCAGTGTAAACCCTGACATTTATCAAGTCTGCCAGTGTAAACCCTGACATTTATCAAGTCTGCCAGTGTAAACCCTGACATTTAGCCAGTCTGCCAGTGTAAACCCTGACATTTATCAAGTCTGCCAGTGTAAACCCTGGCATTTAGCCAGTCTGCCAGTATAAACCCTGACATTTATCAAGTCTGCCAGTGTAAACCCTGACATTTAGCCAGTGTAAACCCTGACATTTAGCCAGTCTGCCAGTGTAAACCCTGACATTTAGCCAGTCTGCCAGTGTAAACCCTGACATATTTCTATGACTGCCAGAGTTGAGGAGACTGTATGGCAAACTGCGCACCAGGACGCCCTCCACCACCAGCGTCAAGTCTCTCAGCATGCTCAGCCAATCAGAGGCCATGGACTACCTCCAGCGCCAGTTTCAGGAGGAGGACGTGGTCCAGCCAGCGCCGGTCAGCCAGGGGGAGAAGCTGGCATCCAGACCTGAAACTGTGGCACCCAGACCTGAAACTGTGGCACCCAGACCTGAAGCTGTGGCACCCAAGAGTGAGAAGGCTGCCACGTCTTTTGGGATGTTTGACATGGTCTCACACGTAGGTCATCTTATGTAGGTCTTGTACTGTTCTTGTTGGTCATTTCCTCAGGTTATGCATGTCATTTCCTGAGGTCATATAGGTCATTTTATCATCCCATGATGGTTATTTCTAATCCCACTATATAGTGACTCTTACTCAGTGTTGAAGAAAATTATCTTTCCAATTTAAAAAAGTTGTTAACACTCTCAGAATTCTCCTGAAATTTCAAAAAGCCTCCAGAAAAATTTTTGAAATTTAATGAACTGCAAAAATCTAACCACTATATTTTTTACCATCGCCTGCCTTTGGCTTGAAATAACACTGTATGTCAATATTGCTAAGGATACATTTACCATGATAGTTGAGAGTACGTGAACATAACACTTGAAAAGATTTACAAAATCAATAACTACAGTGTTACCATAAATTCTTTACCACAACCAATAATTGCTCACTGGCAACTTGCTATTTACAATGTCTGACATGACATCAGATGTCATACATCTCCCACCCCCAACTCTGTCATCATAAAACTCCCCCACTGGTCATGTGACCTGTCCACCCAGGTCAAGTCCATGGCCAGCCGCACCTTGACCAACATCCAGACCTTGTCCGCCTACATGACCAGTGATGACAGCAACAACCAGAGTTCAGGGGGGAACCTGGAGCTGACCTCTGTCCTGCAACAAGGGGTCAAAGGTCAGCAGAGTCTGCAGAGCAGCATTGGCAGTGACTCTTCCTGTAAGTATCTGGTCTGTAACTCTTCTTGTAGGTATCTAATCACTGACTCTTGAATTCAATTTATATATTTATACTTCTATTCTGCCATTTTTATTTTTTTTAAAAACTGCTAAAGAGTTTCATCTAATCGCCCAATCCAAGTAAAGTTGACTCTGACCTCTGTTTGCAGCAAACATCATCAGTCCAGACACCAGCTCCGACGCCTCCCCTCCCCGTGATGTGGTGAGAAAGTCTGGCACCTTCATAGAGTGGAAGCGCGAGATGTCCACTGTTGATGGTGACCTGTCTGACCGCGACTCTAGCAGGAAGTCCATCAGGACCATACAGATGCAGCAGAGGAACCTGAACAGGTCATCATTGACAAGCCAGTCCCCTGGTCAGTCTTGTGTGTCCTGGTCAGCGGTCACATGTTACATTATTTCACCTGTGTCACCTGTTACATTATTTCACCTGTGTCACCTGTCACATTATTTCACCTGTGTCACCTGTCACATGTCACGTTATTTCACCTGTGTCACCTGACATCTGTCACATGTCACATTATGTCACCTGTCACACCTGACAGCGGTCACATGTCACATTATTTCACCTGTGTCACCTGTCACATGTTACATTATTTCACCTGTGTCACCTGTCACATTATTTCACCTGTGTCACCTGTCACATGTCACATTATTTCACCTGTGTCATCTGTCACATGTCACATTATGTCTCTTGTGTCACCTGTCTCACCTGTCACATGTCACATTGTTTCACCTGTCTCACCTGACAGAGCCAGCCAGCCATAGAGTGAGTACCATCACTGACGTCTGGGTCTGGGGCGCCAACGACCAGGGTCAGCTTGGTCTGGGGGATCAGCTGGAGAGGTCACTTCCTGTCCAGGTCAAGTTTTTCATAGGTAACTTCTCTTACATTGTCTGCATCTTGATTGGTTTAATTAGTGCCTTTACTCATCAAGTTTATATGATCAATTTTATCATGTAAGTTTGACTCAACTGATTGATACATTAGTTGTTATATGGCTCATCAAGTTGTTCCTGCCACTTGCAGGCAGGCATGTGATAAAACTGGCAGCAGGCGACGCCCACAGTCTGGCGCTGACCGCCAACTCTCAGGTCCACTCCTGGGGCTCCAACAGCTACGGTCAGCTGGGCCAGCCAGAGGCGGTGCATGGACCCACGCGGATAAAGGTAACCGTGGCAACCAAACATTTGCCAGCAGTCTACACAACTAGTCTGGCACACAGACTGACTTGTTTACTGTCAGTTGACACAATATAAATGTCCTTCTCAATATCCATATGTCTCCGCCAAATACCACCAGGAGCTAAACATTGACCAATACAGCTTTAATCTTCTCCTATCTAATTCTTGTGTACTGAGTGTATACATATTTTAACTGTGAACAAAGCTTATATTAGGACCACTGTACAAATATATGTCTGACCTTTTGACCTGTGGCAGAAAATGATAAAATATTGGCTTCCAGTTTCCCAAAGGTTTTACAGCATGGGATATTGGAGCTGGCGTGACTCATTCTGTTTTCCTGGGGGACGGCTCTTCTGCTGGTGATGGCTCGGCTCCATGTCCCGAGGTCTTCTACTGTGGTAAACAACCCAGGTCAGCATGACTTTGACAAGTTTTGTTATGTCAAGTATAACAAGTTTCATTAGAGGGGGGGGGGGGGGGGCTGAATATTCCTGTTAACTATTTTAAATTTAGATGTGTTCGCTATCTAATTTAAACCTGACACTTGACAACCATTTGTAAACTTCCCCAGTAAAGAGCTCCACTCTACCATGATAAAAACCAACACACTGGAACCTCTGCCTGTCATCAACAAGGTAAGATGGCGCCATGGTTCCATGACTTGTATAGTACAGCTCTGTAGGTGGGCTGTGTGATCACATTGTAAGATGGCGTCATGGTTCTATGACTTGTATAGTAGGCCCCTACAGCTCTGTAGGTGTGCTGTGTGATCACATTGTAAGATGGTGCCATGGTTCCATGACTTGTATAGTACAGCTCTGTAGGTGGGCTGTGTGATCACATTGTAAGATGGTGCCATGGTGCCATGACTTGTGTAGTACAGCTCTGTAGGTGGGCTGTGTGATCACATTGTAAGATGGCGCCATGGTTCCATGACTTGTATAGTACAGCTCTGTAGGTGTGCTGTGTGATCACATTGTAAGATGGTGCCATGGTTCCATGACTTGTATAGTACAGCTCTGTAGGTGGGCTGTGTGATCACATTGTAAGATGGCGCCATGGTTCCATGACTTGTGTAGGACAGCTCTGTAGGTGTGCTGTGTGATCACATTGTAAGATGGTGTCATGGTTCCATGACTTGTGTAGGACAGCTCTGTAGGTGTGCTGTGTGATCACATTGTAAGATGGTGTCATGACTTGTATAGTACAGCTCTGTAGGTGGGCTGTGTGATCACATTGTAAGATGGTGCCATGACTTGTATAGTACAGCTCTGTAGGTGGGCTGTGTGATCACATTGTAAGATGGCGCCATGGTTCTATGACTTGTATAGTACAGCTCTGTAGGTGGGCTGTGTGATCACATTGTAAGATGGTGCCACTGTTCCATGACTTGTATAGTACAGCTCTGTAGGTGTGCTGTGTGATCACATTGTAAGATGGTGCCATGGTTCCATAACTTGTATAGTACAGCTCTGTAGGTGTGCTGTGTGATCACATTGTAAGATGGTGCCATGGTTCCATGACTTGTATAGTACAGCTCTGTAGGTGGGCTGTGTGATCACATTGTAAGATGGTGCCATGGTTCTATGACTTGTATAGTACAGCTCTGTAGGTGGGCTGTGTGATCACATTGTAAGATGGTGCCATGGTTCCATGACTTGTATAGTACAGCTCTGTAGGTGTGCTGTGTGATCACATTGTAAGATGGTGCCATGACTTGTATAGTACAGCTCTGTAGGTGGGCTGTGTGATCACATTGTAAGATGGTGCCATGGTTCCATGACTTGTGTAGGACAGCTCTGTAGGTGGGCTGTGTGATCACATTGTAAGATGGTGCCATGGTGCCATGACTTGTGTAGTACAGCTCTGTAGGTGGGCTGTGTGATCACATTGTAAGATGGTGCCATGGTTCCATGACTTGGATATAGTACAGCTCTGTAGGTGGGCTGTGTGATCACATTGTAAGATGGTGCCATGGTTCTATGAATTGTATAGTAGGCCCCTACAGCTCTGTAGGTGGGCTGTGTGATCACATTGTAAGATGGCGCCATGGTTCCATGACTTGTATAGCACAGCTCTGTAGGTGTGCTGTGTGATCACATTGTAAGATGGTGCCATGGTTCCATGACTTGTATAGTACAGCTCTGTAGGTGGGCTGTGTGATCACATTGTAAGATGGTGCCATGGTTCTATGACTTGTATAGTACAGCTCTGTAGGTGGGCTGTGTGATCACATTGTAAGATGGTGCCATGGTTCCATGACTTGTATAGCACAGCTCTGTAGGTGGGCTGTGTGATCACATTGTAAGATGGTGCCATGGTTCTATGACTTGTATAGTACAGCTCTGTAGGTGTGCTGTGTGATCACATTGTAAGATGGCGCCATGGTTCCATGACTTGTATAGTAGGCCCCTACAGCTCTGTAGGTGTGCTGTGTGATCACATTGTAAGATGGTGCCATGGTTCCATGACTTGTGTAGTACAGCTCTGTAGGTGGGCTGTGTGATCACATTGTAAGATGGTGCCATGGTTCCATGACTTGTATAGTACAGCTCTGTAGGTGGGCTGTGTGATCACATTGTAAGATGGCGCCATGGTTCCATGACTTGTGTAGCACAGCTCTGTAGGTGGGCTGTGTGATCACATTGTAAGATGGTGCCATGGTTCTATGAATTGTATAGTAGGCCCCTACAGCTCTGTAGGTGGGCTGTGTGATCACATTGTAAGATGGCGCCATGGTTCCATGACTTGTATAGCACAGCTCTGTAGGTGTGCTGTGTGATCACATTGTAAGATGGTGCCATGGTTCCATGACTTGTATAGTACAGCTCTGTAGGTGGGCTGTGTGATCACATTGTAAGATGGTGCCATGGTTCTATGACTTGTATAGTACAGCTCTGTAGGTGGGCTGTGTGATCACATTGTAAGATGGTGCCATGGTTCCATGACTTGTATAGCACAGCTCTGTAGGTGGGCTGTGTGATCACATTGTAAGATGGTGCCATGGTTCTATGACTTGTATAGTACAGCTCTGTAGGTGTGCTGTGTGATCACATTGTAAGATGGCGCCATGGTTCCATGACTTGTATAGTAGGCCCCTACAGCTCTGTAGGTGTGCTGTGTGATCACATTGTAAGATGGTGCCATGGTTCCATGACTTGTGTAGTACAGCTCTGTAGGTGGGCTGTGTGATCACATTGTAAGATGGTGCCATGGTTCCATGACTTGTATAGTACAGCTCTGTAGGTGGGCTGTGTGATCACATTGTAAGATGGCGCCATGGTTCCATGACTTGTGTAGCACAGCTCTGTAGGTGGGCTGTGTGATCACATTGTAAGATGGTGCCATAGTTCCATGAATTGTATAGTACAGCTCTGTAGGTGGGCTGTGTGATCACATTGTAAGATGGTGCCATGGTTCCATGACTTGTATAGTACAGCTCTGTAGGTGGGCTGTGTGATCACATTGTAAGATGGTGCCATGGTTCCATGACTTGTATAGCACAACTCTGTAGGTGTGCTGTGTGATCACATTGTAAGATGGTGCCATGGTTCCATTACTTGTATAGTACAGCTCTGTAGGTGGTCTGTGTGATCACATTGTAAGATGGTGCCATGGTTCTATGACTTGTATAGTACAGCTCTGTAGGTGGGCTGTGTGATCACATTGTAAGATGGTTCCATGACTTGTATAGTACAGCTCTGTAGGTGGGCTGTGTGATCACATTGTAAGATGGCGCCATGGTTCCATGACTTGTGTAGCACAGCTCTGTAGGTGGGCTGTGTGATCACATTGTAAGATGGTGCCATAGTTCCATGACTTGTATAGTACAGCTCTGTAGGTGGGCTGTGTGATCACATTGTAAGATGGTGCCATGGTTCCATGACTTGTATAGTACAGCTCTGTAGGTGGGCTGTGTGATCACATTGTAAGATGGTGCCATGGTTCCATGACTTGTATAGCACAGCTCTGTAGGTGTGCTGTGTGATCACATTGTAAGATGGTGCCATGGTTCCATGACTTGTATAGTACAGCTCTGTAGGTGGTCTGTGTGATCACATTGTAAGATGGTGCCATGGTTCTATGACTTGTATAGTACAGCTCTGTAGGTGGGCTGTGTGATCACATTGTAAGATGGTGCCATGGTTCCATGACTTGTATAGCACAGCTCTGTAGGTGGGCTGTGTGATCACATTGTAAGATGGTGCCATGGTTCCATGACTTGTATAGTACAGCTCTGTAGGTGTGCTGTGTGATCACATTGTAAGATGGCGCCATGGTTCCATGACTTGTATAGTAGGCCCCTACAGCTCTGTAGGTGTGCTGTGTGATCACATTGTAAGATGGTGCCATGGTTCCATGACTTGTGTAGTACAGCTCTGTAGGTGGGCTTTGTGATCACATTGTAAGATGGTGCCATGGTTCCATGACTTGTGTAGTACAGCTCTGTAGGTGGGCTGTGTGATCACATTGTAAGATGGTGCCATGGTTCCATGACTTGTATAGCACAGCTCTGTAGGTGGGCTGTGTGATCACATTGTAAGATGGTGCCATGGTTCCATGACTTGTATAGTACAGCTCTGTAGGTGGGCTGTGTGATCACATTGTAAGATGGCGCCATGGTTCCATGACTTGTATAGTACAGCTCTGTAGGTGGGCTGTGTGATCACATTGTAAGATGGCGCCATGGTTCCATGACTTGTGTAGCACAGCTCTGTAGGTGGGCTGTGTGATCACATTGTAAGATGGTGCCATAGTTCTATGAATTGTATAGTACAGCTCTGTAGGTGGGCTCTGTGATCACATTGTAAGATGGTGCCATGGTTCCATGACTTGTATAGTACAGCTCTGTAGGTGGGCTGTGTGATCACATTGTAAGATGGTTCCATGACTTGTATAGTACAGTTCTGTAGGTGGGCTGTGTGATCACATTGTAAGATGGTGCCATGGTTCCATGACTTGTATAGTACAGCTCTGTAGGTGGGCTGTGTGATCACATTGTAAGATGGCGCCATGGTTCCATGACTTGTGTAGCACAGCTCTGTAGGTGGGCTGTGTGATCACATTGTAAGATGGTGCCATAGTTCCATGACTTGTATAGTACAGCTCTGTAGGTGGGCTGTGTGATCACATTGTAAGATGGTGCCATGGTTCCATGACTTGTATAGTACAGCTCTGTAGGTGGGCTGTGTGATCACATTGTAAGATGGTGCCATGGTTCCATGACTTGTATAGCACAGCTCTGTAGGTGGGCTGTGTGATCACATTGTAAGATGGTGCCATGGTTCCATGACTTGTGTAGTACAGCTCTGTAGGTGGGCTGTGTGATCACATTGTAAGATGGTTCCATGACTTGTGTAGTACAGCTCTGTAGGTGGGCTGTGTGATCACATTGTAAGATCGTGCCATGGTTCCATGACTTGTGTAGTACAGCTCTGTAGGTGTGCTGTGTGATCACATTGTAAGATGGTTCCATGACTTGTATAGTACAGTTCTGTAGGTGGGCTGTGTGATCACATTGTAAGATGGTGCCATGACTTGTATAGTGCAGCTCTGTAGGTGGGCTGTGTGATCACATTGTAAGATGGTGCCATGGTTCTATGACTTGTATAGTACAGCTCTGTAGGTGGGCTGT